AGCAGGGATAACATCGATCACAGCACTCCAGGAGACGAAAAATTGTAAAGCTATCTTTGCGCATTTCTTGAGGGACACAACTTGCTTTCCAATATCGATCCAGTGCATCGTCATCAGATACTACCGTGCCCAAACTTCGCATCGTCAGAACGTGCGACTGCACACGTACACTGCGTGATGTGGTGAAAAACGCTAACCGACACACACCACGAGCAGAGTATTATTAGGAGGGGTGAATTCTTTTTAAAGGGTCGAGTAGTACTACGTCATATTAGGGGCCAAAACCCCCTCCTGATCGTTTCAAAAAAAAAAAGTACTACGGTATTTATAATATGCTTACACTTGCTAGTTGTCTCAAAGTCGTCGTAATGAATCTGAATCGCGGATGACAACCATGAGTGACATAAAATAATAAAAAAAACATATATAAAGCGTGTGTATGAACTCATCCGAATCTGATCCCAACAATTCTAACCTTTGACAAGTTGATCCAAGCAGACACTACTAGAGTGCCTCTCTCATATACTATGTTATGAACCCCATCATTGTACTTTGCATGGCCAGCACAGCATGCTCGCTGATTTCTGAAAGCTCATCAAATCATCAAACAACTGATGGGAATGAACTCGTCAGTAGTGCGCAGCAGGCACGCTATAGCTAGTAGCACACACAAGCTGCATAAAATCTCAACGGCCCCAGCGAAAATGGGTAACCGCCGGTCTTTGGCTCATCTCCAGCGCACGCAAGCCCTAGGTAGGCAGGTACTAATAGCCAGGATTAAGACATGATTGTAGGCGGTGCCAACTAACCCCTTTTTAACCCTACTTTGGGAGCCCCCTACCCGTTGGCCGAGGAATGATGCGTGCCTCGCCTCACATGGGGAGGGGATGGGAATCTCGGCTTGTTTACACGGGGACGCGTGCCGCGCGCACCTCCTCCTCTGTCCTCTCACGGTCGGTCGCCCTCGCACCCTCTCTCTCTCTCTCTCTCTCTCGCGCCTTCTTTTCCTTCTTCCTACGTGGTCCCCGCGAGCGGGGTTGGGATTTGTGCAGCAAAGCGGCAATTGACTAAAATAATGCCGCTTGGAGGAACTTTACTGCTCCGGCTTCTATCTTATGTGGGCCCACCAATAGTATACCAGTAACCGTAGACTTGGGCACCAACTACGTATCGTGCCGTATGTATTGTTTCCTTCCTTTCTTAGTACTAGTACTCGCGACGTACGTATACTTCCCCACTATTCATCCCATGGTAGTACGTAAACCGTAGACTTCTTCTAGTGGATGGAGGAGATAATCTCCATCTCCTGTGCCCTTTTCGCTTTCGACGAGTGGCAATACGGCTTTCGCTTTCTTCGCAGCCGATCCGTAGGATCCAAGGGAGCGGCACGTGCAGCACGACACCGTGCGGTGCGTTTCGCGCACCGGCCGACGCAAAGGATATCCGAATCCACCAGCTATATACGGCTGGTCTGAAAGTACTCGACATTTTACGATCTCTATCTCTATCTACTACAAGCCTACAAGGGGTGGCGTAAAAACCTCGCTCATAGCACGGTCACCATAGTTGGGGTTAGGTTTAGCATTAGACGACCGAGGGCAAGGGAGACATCTCCCTAGGTACTTGCATTAAGGAAAACATCTCTCAATGTGCCATCGTGCTTCTCCATACGTACATTAGTTTACCGTGGGTGTTGCCTTGAGAACACAACACTAAAGAATCCTATTGAGACTTAGCTAAGCTAACAGAGATATAAATTAGGATGATGCTGATGTACGAGCTCCAGTTTTTTTTATGTTTGATTGATCCGTCACCCGCACGATCAAAATCTGGTGGATCTGGTTCCTCTTCCTACTTGCCTGCTCTCCGTGCATGCATATTGTCCTCATGCTTGCGCCTCCACCTACTCTTGTCCCCGCCTCCCCGGTGGAATCCTCGCCGATGAGTCCACAGCCACAGCTCTAGTAATGCCGAACCCACCTCCGTAGCCCTAGAACACAAATGAGGCATTTAGTTTAAGAAATTAGTTGATCCATCAGATTATCATACCCCAAAAGATTATTGCTCGGGAATGTAATCATTCTTAGAAATTACTAAAGCACTCTTTTCTTCGCAAAAAATGTGTGGAATGAAATGTGTGTTGATAACAGTATTGAAACAGACGCCCGCGTCGCTCGCCAAGGGCGACACGGGCGGACCAAGCCTGCGCCGCCGCACACCTCCCTCTCGCGGCCCTCATCCTCGCCGCCGCCCGAGCCCTCCGGCAGTTCGCCGTGAAGTCGCAATGACGGTGGCGGCGGGGCTCTTCGTCCCCTCCCCGTCCGTTTTGGTGGCGCTACGGCGACGGCGCCCCCGAATTTTGCGAAAGCAACGGCGGCGGGCATGCGACGACCCCATCCTCGACGGAGGTGGCGATCCGACGCCGTGGAGGGTGGATCCGGCAGCCCCATGCCGGATCTCACGCCGGTGGGCCTCGTGGCCGTGCGGGCGGCGCGTTATCGCCATGGTGGTGCTGGCTGCGCCGCCCATCCATGGCGGTGGTGCGACGGTTTGACGGTGGTGTCCGTGGCGGTGGGCGGTGTGGCTTGTGCGCGAGGTCGGTGCGGTGGCGCCGCCCGTGGGTGGTGGTGGTGGTGCTCTCCCGCTGGTCCGGCGATGGCCGGCAGGCGACAGCAGCAGTCGGGTGGCGGAGGGGCGCGGCAGCTTTGTCGCCGCGCCGGAGGTGGAGGGGGCGCGGATGGAGGCTGCTTTTCGCCGCCTTGGTCCTCGTCGCGTCTACAATGGCGCGCGCAATAACAATGGCGGCGGTGGCGGCTCCGGCTCTCGGATCTGGCGCTCTGGCGGCCGGATCCGCCTTCACTGGGCCGGATTTGGTGCTCTGCGGTGGTAGTGACTACCGCTACCGGTGTTCGGCTGGCACCGCGCGGCGGTTTTGTCAAGGAGGTGGATCGGTGCTTGGTGGTTCGGTGGGCGGCGGCTTCTTGGCGTCTGGGCGGCAATCAACGGTGGCGGTGTGGTTCCTTCGGCGATGCCGTGGTGGGCGTGGCCGGGCGGTGGCGGCGGCGAACTGCTGGTGCCGTGGGGTGTTGCTTGGCATTGCCGGGCCCGGTGGAGGCCACACTTCCCTATTGGGGCTTGCCGACGCGTGCCCGTCTTGGGCGCGCAGGGGCGTGGCGGGGTTCCTCCTCTCTCGCTTTCGCCTCTCCTTCTCTTCTCGATGGTGGCCATTTTGTGGCGGTGGTTGGGTTTCATGCCGGCGTTGGGGCGGCCCTTCTATGCCGTTCTTCCCCACATGATCCTCGGGCCGCTTGCGCGAGCGGCCGCAAGAGGGGACGAGGCCTCGGCGTCTTGAAGTGCTGGTGCGGGGCCTTGCCCTAGATCCGGGATCTTCGTGGCATGGGACGGTGCCCAAGGTGGGCGTGACCTACGGCGGCGGAAGGTCGGTTCTTCGACATGTGGTCCGGTCGGCGGGTGCTAAGCGCAGCTTTATGGCCGCCAGTGGGCGGCAAGGTCGACCCCCGGGAGTGGCCTCGGCCGGTGGTCCAGCGGCGACGTCTTTGGTGCTGGCGAGGACCCGGCATCTTGACCGACGACCGTCTTTGTGGTTTCTTTGGGCGAAGGCTCGGTGACGGCGACACCTGCGGGTGCCGTTCCCCCTGTTGAGGGCGTCGCGTCCACAAAGACTCTCCACGGTGAAAACCAGTCCGCCTTGGACGAGCGGCGGCGGCGCTTGGACGTCGTTACCTTCTTGAAGGCGTCGTTGTGGAATTTGTCTCGGGCGGGGCGGCTCGTGGCGGGGGCTAGTCGTCGTTTTTTTTTGTTGTGTTATGTGGGTGGTGCCAGTGGTGGAGAGTTTGTTCTAGTAGAGTCGAGTTGAGTGGACGTCGACCACCGCAAGTGGCGGCGTGAGTTGAGATAGTTGGTTAGTCAATCGATTCGACAAGTTGGTGCTGAATTGTTGTATCAAGTTGTGTAGGATGAGCGGGGTTCTCCTCAGTTGTATGGTTTTTTGCCCAGTTTCCATTCAAAGAACTGGACGGGGCACTTGCCTTCTTTTTCTTTTCTTCGTCTAATAGAAATCGCGGCAAACTTTTGCCGTCCTTTCGAAAAAAAAAATGTGTGTTGATTTATATATAATTACCTTATTCCCCACACAATCTTATAATATACATGGACATGAAAAATGGGTTGGTTCCCTAAAAAAACATAAGATGGTAACTGATGATACACAACATAATCCAGAATAGAGTGAGTCCTTAAACTAAGTACCTCTAGTATTCTCACACGTCTCCTAAACCCAGCGCCAAAACCTAGACGCACGCAAACTTCTCTCTTCGTCCTAACATATAAAAAGATTTTAATTTTTATAACTAAAACTGTATTGAGATTAACCAAGTTTATAAATAATATTATTAATACCTACCGTATCGAAGAAGTAATAAATTATAAAAATATATTTCATTAATTCTCTAATGACACTAATTTGGTATTGTAAACATTATTGTTGTTTTATATGAACTTGGTCAGACTTACAAATTTGAACTATTCGATCTTGACCAACTCAACCTGAAATGATTTTTTTTTAGTTCTTTAAATTTGAATGAGAGGTTGACGGTTCAAAATAAGTTGCGGGACATGCGAGAAAAATCGACAGGGCTTGCGGGCAAGCCCACAGGCCACAGTCGACCGGGTGTCACCAAAGCAGGCCATTTTAGTGGGCCGCGTCTGTCTGATTCACGTCGTCATCCAGCTAGCTCATCGGTCGGCCCAGGTAAAACCACTGATCCGCAGCCAACACCTACTCGAAAAACGATGCGCCGAGGCAGCGCCACGCGGCCTCCCCGCCGCGCACCAGGAGCCACTAGCTCGCTCCGTCGCTCTCTCGCCGTCCCAGACGGCCAGACTCCCAGTGGCTCACCACACTCGCACGCGCGCGCTCCTGGACCAGGCCTCAACTCAGCACGTGCGTCAGCGGCTCCGCGCACGGGCCACATCTCTCCATGGCGACGCCCATCTCGCTCGCGCGCGCGCCGGCGCCGCTGATCACTCCCCGCGCGTGCAACCCCCGCCAGCTTGTCCACGCGTCGGCGGTGCGCGCCTCTCCCCGGCGCGGAGGAGGGCGCGTCGGTCGCCGCTCCCTGACGGTCCCCGCTGCAGCGGGAGCCTCGGCCTCCTCGCCCGGCTTGGCTCCAGACACCGGCGCGCCCGCGTGGGACGCTCTCGGCGGCGTCTCCGTCCTCGCCACGGGAACAGGCAACGCTGTGGCGCTGACGGACCTGTGGGACTCCACCGAGGTACTCTCTGCCTCCGTCTGGGCTTATGCCCGTCAGTGGTCAGAGCGACTGCCTTGCCTTCCGTAGTTCCGTGTCGTCGTATGCTGACGGCCACCTTGCGCGCGCAGGGGGTGGCCGTGGTTGCGCTGCTGAGGCATTTCGGGTGCTTCTGCTGGTGAGGAGACCGAGACGGTTTCTTGTTCGTTCTTCGTTGGTTGTTGCTCGCGCGTAAGCTTTGGCCGTGTCCGTCCATTTCCGCAGCTGGGAGCTGGCCTCTGTTCTCAAGGACTCCATAGCGAAGTTCGACTCGGCGGGGGCTAAACTGATCGCCATCGGCGTCGGAACCCCAGAGAAAGCTCGCATTCTCGCCGACCGGGTATGTGGTGGCCTCGTGCTGAATACTCCTACTCTTTGTGCACGGTGGTGCGATTGCACACGTGGCTGAAGCTGAAGCCTGCCGAAAACTGAATCTCTGATTCTCTGAATGAGTGCGCATTGCAGCTGCCATTTCCTATGGACTCCTTGTACGCAGACCCCGAGCGCAAGGTGACAATACACTGCAAATTTATCTCAACTATTGGAGAGCATCGTTTGCCCGATTGCAATCCTGTGTATGAATGCACTAAAGTGGAAACTCATTCTTTCAGGCTTACAACGTGCTTGGACTGTACCATGGTTTGGGTCGGACGTTCTTCAACCCAGCTAGTGTAAGTAACTACGCATCATCGTTTTCAGTTGAGCAGTGACCAGTGAGCAGTGAGCACTGCTGCTCTTGTCTTTGCTACCGTTCGTGCACTTCTTCCAATTGCGCACTGGTGACATGACTTACGCTGCATCTGATTCTACATACGAAGGCAAAGATATATTCGAGGCTCGACAACATCAAGGAGGCGACCAAGAACTACACGCTGGAAGCCACGCCCGCCGACCTCACCGGCGTCCTGCAGCAGGTTGAACCGTTAAATTCGTCGTCTGCGCTCTACGGTGTGCCTGCATCCATAACCAGAAATACTGAAGGATCTCATCAGCTGCTCGTTTCTCGTTTCTCTCCAGGGTGGAATGTTCGTGTTCAAAGGGAAGGAGTTGCTATACTCGTGGAGAGACGAAGGCACAGGCGACCATGCTCCTCTGGACGACGTGCTCACCGCCTGCCGCAAAATTCCAGTCGCTTGACCTGTTATTTCTCGTCACACCCGGACTCTGCCTGTGTCTGTCTATGTGCCCGATAGGCCGATACTACTGTACATACTATGGCTAGACTGAAACCCTGGTTTCGTTCATCCATCAAATGCAGCATTGCAGTTCCAGCGAAACGAAACAGATACTGTATACTACGGAAATAGCGAAACAGATACCTGTTTGGTCACACAAATTCGTGCGTCTTTGGTCACTCAAATCCTTGTGTCCTTTGCTACCTGTAAGAATCTGATTCCAGCAGCATATTAACCCAGCATGTTCAGGCGCTATCTAGGAAATACCATCAAAAAGACGAAAACTGCCATAAGTACAAGAATTTTATATAATCTCCCGCCCCCGCCGCCAGCCCGCCACCCACAACCACGTCCACCGCAACGGTCACTTCCAGCTCTCGTGCGTCCTCCTCCTCCTCCAGTTCCACCGTCGCCTCTCCTCCCGCGGTTAGGGACTTAGGGTAACGCCGCGTGTCTCCAGTCGCAAACTCACAACCATGGCCGCACCGGCGGCCGCCTCGCTAGTCGCACGCGTCTCCCTCCCGCCGCGCCTTCGCCCAACCGCTGCTTCTCCCCTTGGCCCCTCTGTCCACGGTCCCCGCAGCCGCCGTCGGCACCTCCGTTTCCGCCGTTCACCATCATCGTCGGCGGGGACTGCGGCCGCGAGCTCCCCATCCGTGCCCTCCTCTTCCCCGGAGCCAGGGTCAGGTATTGGCGATGCTCTCGGTGACGTCGAAATCAACTCCGCGGCCACCGGCGAGCCCGTCCTGTTCAGAGACCTGTGGGATCAGAACGAGGTAGAGATGCCGTATTCGAGCTTCGTCTATTTCGCTTCAACTAGGGAAATTTCTGTCGTTATATTTAGGCAACGATTACTTAAAGGTTTGCAAAACAAATCAGCCCCTTTCGCAGATTGAAAAACACTAAAAACTTTTCACACAAAATAATCCAGTGGTACTCACATGGATTTGATGCTATATGTACATGACTAGCCCAGCGTTTGATTGTCTATGCAGGGAGTGGCTGTTGTTGCGCTGCTGAGGCATTTTGGGTGCCCTTGTTGGTGAGCGAGGAAGCTTCTCTGTATCTTGCTTAGCTAGTATAATATCGATGTTATTTAGTTAATTTCATTCTTTGAGCTAACTGTCAGCTCTGATCATGCCCCCTTGTAGCTGGGAGTTCGCCTCTGTTCTTAGGGACACAAAAGAGAGATTTGATTCTGCTGGAGTAAAACTGATTGCTGTTGGTGTTGGCACTCCAGCTAAAGCCCGTATTCTTGCTGAGCGCGTATTCATACGTTCCATCTTGTAACCTAGTTTTAAATCTTTGGACAAACACAGACACACTGAATCTAACATATGACATCATGCATGTCACAAGTCTGTTTTCAAGCTCTGAATTTTGACCAAATAACTTGTTGTTCTTGTTTATTGGTTTGCTAGATAACAAACTTCTAATGAACATGAGAGATAAACATGCCTATCTGTTTTAATTTGTTTTCGGGCATCCTGCAAAGAACTTCCAACCCTTAATAATTTACTCTAAAATTCGTTTTATGCAGTTACCCTTTCCGTTGGAATACCTCTATGCAGATTCTGATCGGAAGGTACTAATCCTGTGCTCACCTATTTATGAACCAATTGGATGTTGCCATAAAGTCTAAACCATACCTCTATGTAAAACATGGTATGATTTGTCTGTTGAATGTACTGGTTCCTTTTTTATGCATTTATGAAACCTAGAGATGTCTCCTGATCATTTATTTACAAGGGTTTGCTTGCTATTTTGTTGTCTAGAACTCCGGATTGCACTAGCAGGACCCGCTCCATAAAAAAATATAATTACTATTTTGAGACGAAATATATGGCTAATCAGATGACAATATGAAATGTGAATCTGAAAGGTGAATGCATTTTTTTTTCAGTTTAGTAAATGGAGAAGTAATGTTGGCAGTTTGTTGACGAATTGACTGACTTGTATAGCTGCACAGCATTATTTCTGTTTTCTAATTGTTACATACGTTCTTGTAAATTTCTCTGTTAGCAGTTTGTTGACAAATTGACTGACTTGTAGCTGCCCAACATTTTTTCTGTTTTCTAATTGTTACATACATTCTTGTAAATTTCTCTGTTGGCAGTTTGTTGATAAAGCTGTGATTCCGCTTAATAGGTGTACCACGAATGATGCATCTCTTATTCACCTTATTTACCCCAACTTACATGTTAACTATCTCTCTGAAAAAAGCTTTTGTGATAGGTGTTGAATGAGCTAAATGCATGGACATACCATACCATATTTCATATTTGGTACATAGGGACGTTCTATCAGAAATTTGATTCTGTTGATAGCTTTTCTTTCTTCATTTCCTAAGTTCTCAACTCCAATCGAACCTTTTTCAGGCGTATAATCTCTTGGGTCTATATTTTGGTGTTGGTCGCACATTCTTCAATCCGGCCAGTGTAAGCATCAATTGTGTATCAATGATTTTACACTTGCAGTTGGTTTGTTATGAGATGTGTAATGATATAATAATCTTAAACATCTGAACACATTTTCTCAAGGCGAAAGTGCTTTCACGGTTTGACTCCCTTAAGGAGGCGGTGAAGAATTATACAATCGAAGCCACCCCAGATGATAGGGCAGGTGTCCTACAACAGGTTAGATTATTTCCCAACACTTAAAATGGCTTCTGCCACCTTAAGCTGAACTTACCTTTGCAATTTAACACAGAATCTTGATTCATGGAACTGTTTGTTTCATATGTGTTTTAGGGGGGAATGTTTGTGTTCAAAGGTAAAGAACTGTTGTATGCAAGGAAAGATGAGGGCACAGGCGACCATGCACCTTTGGATGATGTGCTCAATATTTGCTGCAAAGTTCCTGTAACCTAACCTGGTATTAGGGCCGATTCCTTTCCCATCGTTACACAAATCACTTGAGCTTTCTTTATTAGTGATCTCTTATTTGCAGCCTTGTTACAAAAAGGAAAGTGAGAATATACTTGTAACATGCATATCGTCTTCATCCATTCTCTTTTTGGCATCAACAGATCCCTTTCTTTGTTCACAAGCTGGGCATGGTTCTATATGTTCTGTCGGTTCCCTGCATGCCAATTGTTGCATAATAACCTCATTAGAGCATCTCCAAGAGTTCCCCATATACCTTCCTCATCTATGTTTTTAGAAAAAAGACAAAATCATCTCAAGAGTACCCTATATGTCTTCCCCATCTTTGGGCACTTGGCAAATCTTCTCCCTCCGAGCGTAAAAATGCGCGCACGGTAGTCTCGCGCATCTGAACTTCCCCGCGGCATCTCCTCCTTCCCGTGACTACTTCCCGCGCGAGTTTCCTTCGCGCCATCGTCGAGGTTCCGTCAGGGGAGTGGATCCGCGCCGCCGGCAACTCCACCCTGCTCGAGATCCTCGCTGGCCTCTCCTCGTGCGTGAGACGTTGCTCTTCCTGCTGGTGATATGGCACTGGGCGAGTGCGTGGCGACTGGGGACGAGGTGCTCTGTGGCGCGATGGGCTCAGGAAAGAGCGCAGGTGGCGCAACGTCAGCGTCATGGACTCATGGTGGCCTACAGGGTGTTGGGCTACGTGAAGAGCACAGGTGAAAGTGCATTTGCCCCCTATGTGGATTTTGGTGTATTGATGACATCCAAATTAGGGACTAATGAGATCTTAATGAGATATATTGCAGCTTTAGTCCCTTGAAAGTTTTAAGAGAGTTGATCTAGGATAAAATGGTATCCCTCAATTCTTCAAGCGCAAAAAGCGAACGAACCCAAAGCGCTCACCAAAGCCTTTTTATTTTATTTTGGGTTTAGATATGCCGTACTATAAAGAGGGATGCAAATTTAGGTGGTCTGAGGAAGACAGGGTGCTCAAGCATAAAAGTAAAATCAAAGAGAGAAAATCACCTCACGAACATTTAGATATAGTTTTGGGACTTTTGGTAGCCGGAAGTCTCGGCGTGAGCCAGGAGTTTCGACAGTCGGTCGGCGCTTGCTGACTTAGCCGCCAGCCTGCTTGCGCACCTTTGTCCGTCGGAAGTCCCAACGGGAGTCGGGAGTTCCGGGTGTCAGAAGTTCTGGCTCCCGCCGAAAGTTTTGATGCCCTGGGACTTAGCCCCCTGGCTCGGCTGTGCGTCGGGAGTCCTGTCGGGGACCAATACTAGGGTACTCGAAGAGGAGGAGCTAATGGTTATCAACATTAATTCATCCGAGCAGTTAAGAGCGCGACTACAGCTCCAACCAACCCCTAGGTGCGCGGGCTCCACCTCGCCCGACCCTAAGGCCGCGGACTCCGTCTCGCCCGACCTCAAGGCCGCGGGCTCCACCTCGCCTGACCCCGAGGCCGCAGGCTCCATCTCGCCCGACCTCAAGGCCGTGGGCTCCGCCTCGCCCAACCCTGAGGCCCTGGGCTCCGTCTCACCTGACCTTAAGGCCACGGGCTCCGCCTCGCTCGACCCTTGGGTTTGCACTCCACCTCGCCTGACCCCGAGGCCGTGGGCTCTGCCTCACCCGACGGAGACCCATACTGCCACCAACCACTCCAGGTCCAAGCGTATGGGCCTAGGTCAAAGCTCTGACACTAGGGAAGAGACTAGCACGCCTCGATGTAACCCGTGGCCATGACGGGCCATACCTGAGGGTTCACATCAAAAACAACGTCAGGCTTGCCGGTACTGTTCTGCCTAACCCTCGTACGAATGATGACAGGCGCGTCAGTTTACCACGACGTCCGCTGGGACGGGATGGAACGCCATGACCGGTAGACGGCGCCTGCGCATGGCACCAGTGACGGACAGGGTCGCAAAGTGGAGCTGTCCCTGTTGACATCTACAGGATCGGCGGGACCCGCATGAGGAGAAGGACCCGGTGATCCTGAAGGCCTTCTTCTCTCTCTCATTCTTCTCTTTTCCTCTGCTGTAACATATGTTTTCCCTTGGCCTATAAAAGAGAAAGCAGGGCGTCCCATGAGGGGAATCCAATCTAAACCAATCGACTCATCGAGATCCAATCCAGATCCACACAAGAGCACGACACAAACACACAGCTGAGCAGCGATCGAGCTCTCAGCACCCACTCACTCCTTTCACTAGAGACTTGGGATCCTTTCCCTCTCTTGCCCGTTTGTAACCTCTACTACAAACTTTCAGTGCTAGTAACACGAACAGCAACGATGAACTGGACGTAGGAACTATCTGCCCGAACCAGTATAAACCTCGTGTCCTCTAAGCACACCATCCGAGCTAGACGCGTAATACTAGAAATTTACTCGTTGGTGGTAACTCGAAACACCGACAGTTGGCGTGCCAGGTAGGGGCCTTTTGCGTGTCTCGACGTCCACACCAGGTCTCGGATGACAAGTCACGGCGTTAGCTGGGTCCCGGGCGCGCACGTGTGTTTCGAGAACCTAGACTTCATCGTCATGATGGAGGGAGAGTTGGCGCAGGCACCCGTCGTCGTCCAACCTCTCCACTCCACCGGCCTCAACGCGATCACCGAGGCACTTGAGGAGCTGTCGCTGCACGCACTAGAGGCCCATGCCCCTAGGAGCGACCAGCTCCTCGGCTTCGATTACGGGAGGCTAGACGCCAGCTCGACGCCTTCCTAGGACCCCAACCGTCCCGGGAGGACCTAGGCCGTCTCACCTTCTCGTTCGCCAACGTCATGACGCAGCTTGCCGGAGGAGAGCCGCTCTCCCTAGAATACCTCGTTCGAAGCGCCCCGACGATGCTCCCGTCCGGTCTGCGCAACATCGCATAGACCGTTGGCCACCTTGTGGCACAACGCACGCCTCCATCCCCCGTGAACGACGAGTTTGTGGGGATGACCGAATATGTCTTGGAATCTTTCCATGACCTCCTTGTAGGAGAATCGGAGTCGCCCTCCAGCTCTGACTCCAACAGGGGAGCCATCACCCCTCTCGTGAATGTTTTATGGCAGGTACCCCCAAGGGACACGTCGAAGGCATCCACGAGGGAGAGGCTACCCCAATGAACGACCTCGACGATGAGGTCGAGGGGGATATAGGGGCCCCACCTCACCTGTGGGTGGAGCAACTGAAGGCCCGGCACCAAGAGCTCGAGGAAGCACAACTCCAGCTCGAGCAGGAACACGCGGAGCTCAAGCGAGAGATCGAGCGCCACAGAGACGGCGGGCGCGCGTGCGCCATGGCCCGCAACGTGAACCGGAGGATCATCGAGGATGATGAAGCCCTCCCACACTTCACCCGGGCGAACCAGAACATCGTTGCTACGGTGGCCTTGCTCCAGGGGCTTCCGGGGCCCACGACGCCCGAGGATCATTGGGCCTATCATGAGATTCGCACGCTACTCGAGCCTGTGGCGGCGCAACAGGCCGAGAGCTCACTGTCCCGACAACGTGAGCTCGACGTCAGCCAGCGCGCGCCCTGAGAGCAACCCAACATGGACGTGTCAGTCCACCAGGCGCAATGAGGCGACAGGAAAACAGATGAATTGATGACTCACCTCAGTGCCGTCAGGTGACAGACGCGTTTGGGGGTGAACCCCCCGACCCTTGCTCCGCCTCATTGGAACAAGGCTGTTTCGAGCCCGCCCCCTGCTCCTGGGCAGAGGGGCTCACCCCTGGTAGCTCCTAGGGTACATTGGCGGAACGTCCCTCTTCGCTTGGCGCTTGGGGCGCGACGGCGAAGCCACCCGCCTCCGTTGGCACCTTGAGCGTGAAGGTAGAGCCACCTGCCTCCGTTGGCTCCTGGGGCAGGCCAACGGTATGGCCTGCCTCCACCGGCTCCATAGACGTGCCCTCTCCTCCATGGAACGGGAGGGGTCTTAATGCCTGTAAGGATGAACCGACGCCTATCAACACATCTCGTTCTTTAGGTTGTCCCACTCGATATCATCGGCTACCTCCATCACCTCGTCGTCGTCACCATCGTCATCGTCATCATCGTCGTCAGTGTCCTCCCCTCATTCCCGGGCCCACAACTTCCGCAACTTCTTCCTCTTCTTGTCCTCCTTCGCCTTCCTCAGCCGCTTGCCCTCAGCGCGATTCGCCACCCTCATGGCTGAATCCCTTGTTAGTGGCGTCGGGTGATCTGTGAGGATGAGGTCCCTCGGCTGGTCCCGCTCCTCTCAAAGTTAGTCTCACAGGGTTGGGAAATCAATTGAAGAGAAGGCAAGAGAAAGGGAAACTTACAAAGACAACGTATCCTAGCTTTGGCCGCATTGGAGGATGCCCTGGCACCGGGTAGACGAAGTCGAGGGAGGCACCCGCGTCGTCCCGCAAAGGCTCCATTGCCTCCTTGATGTGTTGTGTGATCTCGGAGTTGGGGAGCGTTCCCTCAGCGAGCGCCATTCCGTCGAACGATGCCTCGGACGCCATAGTGTATAGCGAGAGCGCGCGCGTCATCAATGGCGCCACTGAAAGCTCTAGTTTGGTTTTGGTTAATTGATGAAACCCTAAGTGCTAACCTAGTTTATCAAAGTGATTATGAGATAGGTAGCACTACTCCAAATGATGAAGCAATGACAAAGATCATGATGATGGTGATGGCATGGTGATGATCAAATGCTTAAACTTGGAAAAGAAGAAAGAGAAAAACAAAAGGCTTAAGGCAAAGGTATAAATTGTAGGAGCCATTTTATTTTAAGTGATCGAGACATTTAGTGAGTGTGATCACATTTAGGATCGATAGCCGTACTATTAAGAGGAGTGAAACTCGTATCGAAGTGCGGTTATCAAAGTGCCACTAGATGCTCTAACTCATTGCATATGCATTTAGGATCTAGTGGAGTGCTAACACCCTTGAAAATGTTTGTGAAAATATGCTAACACATGTGCGTAAGGTGATACACTTGGTGGTTAGCACATTTGAGCAAGGGTAGGAAACTTCACCGGCGGAG